TCCCTGGCCAGAACTGGGTAGATCTGCCTGTGAGGAAGGACTGTGAAGAAAATGGCACCCTCCCTGGTTGGAGTCAGAGAGTAGGATGTAGGCATGGTGATACCTTTACCTTTCAACTTGTAAGGTCTTAGAACTTAAGAACTTAATTTAAGAGTCCCTAGGGAGTGGGCGGCATACAAATCTTATTAAAGTTGCAAAGTAAAGTTGCAAAGTCTTTGGAGAGACAAAGTTTGCTGCAGCAGCATCACTACTCATGCAAAGACAGTGAGATAAAATGATAGACTGAACTTTCAAAATATAGCCTAGATCTGCCTGAAAATGGGATGCCATATATTCCCTTCACTGGAATTATGATTTATTTCTGCCTTCTTCATATATATTTGTGAGTCAAAATATATTCCGAGCAATGATAAATGGAGAATTATATCCTGTCCCCACAGTTAGAATGACATGGCCTCCACACTTAGACACATCACCGGTTCAACCATTTCAAACTATCACCAGATTTTATTATTTGAAATCTGAATTACCGATTCCACAGCATAGCTAGGAGCAATCTTCTCGTTAATTTCATTCAGTTTGTCTGAAAACATCTGCCTGTCCTCAGTAGCCATGATAGATTCAACTGATGTTCCAAGGACCTTCACTCCATATTCCTGCAAAATGCCACGTTTAAACAGCTCCACTCCTGTACACAGAATGAATTGGAACAATTAGCATTCATAAATGCTCAGAAATCTTTTCCCCTTAGCAACTGGTTTTTTAGCTATGATGGGGAAGTGAAGGCAGGCCATCATGTTGCATGTGGGGTCATATAGGGCCAGCTGGCATGAATGTGCATCAGTTCAGTTCTGGTGTAAGAAAAGTGGGAGTTATTTCTATAATTTATGTGCCATTCCATTTCCAGAGACTCTGAGCAACATATAATATTGTTTGAAAATTGGTTAATGAGATGATAACTAATGTACCTTTCCAGATAGCATGATCTTACTCATCCCCAAATGCCTTTCTGAACAACCACATTTTGCATCACTCTAAAAATGTAGCTGGGGGAGGAGCCAACATCCCTATGGTACAGACATGCGGTCTCGATGTTCTGAGACTGCAGCTGATATTTTTGCCACTGGGGGGGTCCAATTGGACCTAAACTGTTCTGACCCCTCTCGTTCCACACCAAAGCACACTCCAAGCCAGAGATAAATTACAGCATTTAATTAACAGACAAACA